CACCAAATGAATTTTTTCGTCCTTCACTTTTAAAATGTTATTATATCTCTCACAAATTCATGTCAACAAATTTTGGAACCAACTTAGATCTTTGATCACTTTTTACTCTAAAATCATCACGTAACTCACTTGTGAGCATTTTTTAGATGCAAAAAATTCAGTTCCAACTTATTTAGGAGAAAAATAAATATGAATTGGGTCATGTTTTACTTTTTAGAGGAAAAATGTATATAGTTTGAATTATATTACACTTTTTTAGAGGCAAAAATGAATATAAATCAGGTCATTTGTTTGACTACAAATGATATCCAATATTTTACTTCTAAAAAATGACCACATGTGAGTCCCTTGATGAACTCTAGGCAAAAAAGCCGCGAAAACTTAGGTTGGGATCAAATTTTACTAATTTAAATTTGTAAGGGATGCAAAAATATCATTTTAAAAGTGAAAATGAAAATATTAATTTGATCAAAAGTGAGGAACTTTTTGAATGATTGTCCCTACTATCATTATGTCTTTCTTGTGGAGAAAGAATCTAGTTTGAAAAGAAGTTGAAGTAAAATACTATCTTTGATGGGTAATGTTGATGAAGTCTTTAATTATCTTTCTACCAATAAGTTTAGATTAGATATAATAATTGATGATGTTAAGTTTGTCTTTGTATCATACATCAAAAGTTTTACAAAAAAATCTCTCCTCTTGGTGGTTATAAATACAGTAGATTTAATTGAGTTTAAATGTGTTAAAGGCACTAGTTCAAGAGAGTTTTTGGGGGGGGGGGAGGGGGAAGGGGTCCATGCCCTGGCCTAAGAGAGATATTGGTTAGGCATCAAACCAAAGGGGCAAGTTAGTAAGCCTTTGAGTCATTAAGCATTTTGTACTATTTAGACTCTTTGGTGGTTTCAATTTTAGATACTTTTGAGTTTTGGAATTATTTACTAGAGTTGTATACTTTCTTTTGTACTCTCTTTCTATTATAGATGTAGGTTAACTCGATCGAATCACGTAAAATTCCTGTGTTCCTGTTTCATTTATTTTTGTTTTGTTATTTGTCTTTTAGGGTTGTCAAGAACTCTATTGTTCTTGTTGAACAATTTTTTGGAACCAGACTTAACAAATTGATATCAAAGATTCAAGTTTTGGCTCTTGATGACAATAACAAACTATCAATATCAATTCTGAAATATTGATTTAGCGCTATAGAGAGTAAAGAGAAACTTCTCGTTAGAGTTCAATTGAATTTTGAAAAAGAGTTCTTTGGCCTGCTAGAACTCGTTGAGGGTTCTATAAAGAAAGTGGAACAAGATTATTATTTTTGCTATTTTAGCCCATTAGGATCTGTTAAATCTTTTGTGAGTTTTGATCCGTTAGAACCGTTGAATCTTTTGTATCTTGGTTCGTTGGTGTCTCATTGGGATCTGTTGGGATTTTTGTGGTTTGTTGGGATCCATTGGAACTCTTATGGAGAAGGTGGAGATTGTTTACTATTTGTTTGCTATTTGTTGATGTTGGATACACGTCAAGGTGAAATTATTGAATTTGTCTTTGTTTCCTATATCGGAAGTTTTACAAAAAATCTCTACTCATGGTGATTATAAATAGAGTGGACTTAAGTGAGTTTAAGTGTACTAGAGGCACCAACCTTAGAGAGTTTTGGAGGGTCCATGCCCTGGTCTAAGAGAGATTTTAGTTAGGCATTAAATTGAAAGAGCAAGTTAGTGAGCATTTGGGCCATTAAATATTTTATGCTATTTAAATTCTTTGTATTTTTAATTTTAGATGCCTTTGAACCTTGGAATTGTTTCCTATAATTTTGTACTTTCTCTTTTATACTTGCTTTCTATTATAGTGAATTTCCTACCACTTCGCTTGTGTACATGGGTCAATTTGATCGAATCACGTGAAATTTTAGTGTTCCTATTTCATTTATTTTTGCTTTGCTATTTGTCTTCTGTTATTGGTCAATTTTCTGAAACTAGACTTAATAAATGGGGTGTTTTCTTTAATTATGATAAAGACTTCACAGTTTTTTCCTCCTTAAACAACTGATGTCGGCTAAACCAATTCCAGCATACCTTAATCACAAGTTTAGGCAGGCTAAAAGGGCTACTCAAATAGAGAGTCATGCTATTAAGAGCATAATTAATCAGGGTTAGTCTCCTACCATGTGACAACCTTATATTAGCTCAATTTTGAATTATAGCATGAATATTTTTATAATCGACTGACAATCTTTAGCATTCAGTGTTGTAAAAATCAAGGGTTTCAAAATATTTCACTAGTAAATAGGCATAACGAAATAAGAACTTTGCTTAAAGGCTTCTTGCTTAGTAACTCAGTAGTAAAAATATCAGATTTTTTCAGACTCGGCTTTAAACCAAATAGCATGGTAAATGCATCTAACGTCGATTCGATAACCTGGAAGGATTTCTTAGAAGCGGCACCATGATGGAAAAAATTCTTAGCTCAGCACATCTTGGATCATATTGCAGCATTGGAATGTGGCAGGGGCATTACAAATGTCAAATGGCATCCTTCTAAAGGCAAATGTGTCATACGGACAAGTAAAGGTGGCCTTTTCTTAATCTTTGGGAGCTATTGCTATTTGGTTATACCCTGAAAATCCATCGAGAAAGCAATAAAATTTATAACCAACAATACGTTCGAATAATTGATCAAGAAATTGTAAGAGAAAGTGATCTTTTCTTATCTTTTCTTGTAACTGCATTTAACTTTCTATAATCGATTTACACTCTCCATCCTACCACAAGTCTAGAGGAAATAAGTTCATCATTTTTTTCCTTAATTATGGTAGTTTCACCTTTCTTTGGGGCAACATGAATTGGACTTATCCATACATTATTCGAGATAGGGAAGATTATACCTGCATCCAATCACTTGATAATTTCTAATCTTACCACCTCTTTCATGTTTGGATTAAACCTTCTTTGCATTTCGACTATTGGTTTGCAATTCTCCTCTAAAAGAATGTGATGCATGCATATAGAAGGGCTAATTCCTTGAATGTCAGAGATGGTCCATCCGATAACCTTCTTGTGGTTCTTTAAAACTCTTAACAACTTATTGAGCTGCTCATCTTCCAAATAAGCACTAAAAATCACTAGTAGAGTTTCATTTTCACCAAAAAACTAGTATTTCAAATGGCTAGGAAGTAGCTTGATTTCAAACTTTGGAGCTTCTATCTCTGAAGGTGGTGGAAGTCCCTTTCCTTGTTCAAGATTTTCATACACATACCCTTTCCTATAAGGAGGTTGTGCATTTAAATATTGGGTCAATGCTTTAATTTCTTCCTTATTTTCCCCCGGCATCCTTGCACTTGATAAACAAAGCTCAAGAGGATCAACATCAAAATTAATTCGATCCAACTCTTGGGTTAGTATTTCTATAGTGTCAATTGAACAAGTATGATCAGTAAAAGAATGATACTTTTTCATTTCATTCAAATTAAATACTATCTTTTCTTCATCTATTTGAAACTTGAGTTTGTCATTTTTGACATCAATAATAGTACTCGCAGTTGCTAAAATGATTTACCTAAGATAATTGGCATAGACATATCTTCTTCCATATCTAATACCACAAAATTCACAGGAATGATAAATTTTTGAACTTTAATCAGCATATTTTCCAAAACTCCTAGTGAATATCTAATAGACCGATTTGCTAACTGCAAAGTAATATTATTGTGTTTTAACTCATGCAACCCTAATTGTCTAGCCACCATTAAAGGAATTAATGATACACTTGCACCAAGGTCACATAATGCCTTTGAAAACTCAATGTTACCGATGGTGCAGGGTATAGAAAAACTCTCTAGATCCTTCAACTTTGGTGAAGTTTGTTTTGTGTGATGGCGCTGCACTCCTTAGTTAATGCTATCATTTTACGATCCTCCAATTTTCTTTTTCTCGTCATAATCTCCTTGAGAAATGTGGCATATGAAGGAATATGTAAAATAGCATCAGCAAAAGGAATATTAATATGCGATTGTTTGAAAATTTTAACAAACTTTACAAAATCTTTGTCAAGTTTATTTGGGTTAAGTCGTTGAGAAAATGGAACTGCCGGAGGTATCGGGACGGTAGTGGAGGGTGTAGGTTGTTCTTCCTTTGATTTTCCTTTACTACCTTTCTCCACGTTTACCTTGTGTTCCATTAGTTCATCTCCTTGTCTCTCATTCTCATTGCTCTCTCCATTTTCTACCATTGGAGGATCCTCTAATTATTTATCACTACGAAGAGTAATGGCCTTGACATGTTCCTTAGGATTCACCTCCGTTTTACTAGACAATTCTCCTTGATTTCGATGGTTAATATAATTGGTGATTTGACCAATTTGAATCTCCAAATTTCTATACATCCCGGTCAATTGATCCAATCTCTCCTCTATTCGATCGAATCTTTCCAAAGTGCCCTTGGCTAATTTCACCATTGCAATTTTTCAATCCGATTTAGTATTCATCTGTGGTTGCCTTAATTGGAATCCTGGCAGGTTCGTCGGCCTTTGAGGATTACCTTAATCTTTTCATTCAAAATTTGGATGATTTCTCCACCCCGAATTATATGTATTCGAGTATGGGTTGTTTTGAGCATTCCTATTATAATTATTAACAAATTGAGCCTGCTCAAGATCAACATATTCATTAATATCATGTTCTCCTCCACATATGGAACAATAAGCAACATGCATATTAGAAGAAGAACTTGTACCACTCCGGTTTGTTTACTCAATACTTTCATCATATTGCTTATTTGAGTACTAAGCATGTTGATGGTATCCATTTCAATCATACCTGTTTGTCGCCTTAGATTACCTCTTTCATTAGCCAATTGGTAGCTGTTGGCCGTCATCTCTTCTATTAAATTTTGAATTTCTTCGGGTGATTTACCCATTAAATCACCACCTGCGGCTGCATCAATAGTCGTTTTAGTAGAGAAGAATAAACCATTATAGAAAATTTGTACAATGAGCCAATCGGAAAGTCCATGATGTAGACATCTTCGAAGCAACTCCCTAAACCTTTCACATGCTTCCTATAATGACTCATCCTTTAATTGACTAAAACTAGTAATATCCATTCTAAATTTAGCCATTTTTTTCGGTGAAAAGTATTTATTTAAAAATGTCCTAGACAAATCACTTCAAGTGGTGAAGGTATTAGGTAGAGGTGGCAATTTGGATTGAGATCCATTTATTCATCCATATAATCCATAATTAAATGGATTTGGATTATCCATTTATAGTATTGGTTTTAAATGGTTAATCAAAGTAAAACCATTAAACTAAATGGATTTATATGGATAATCCATAAAAACCACATATATCCATTTACTTAAAAACCAAATAAAAGAAATGGAAAGGAAATGACTAAAAAAGGATACTCGAGAACTAATTAATTATTGATCCAATACAAAGGCCCGCAGCTTTCTGCTATGAAGAGCTTATTCTGTCCCAACCAACCGTTCCATTGTTTCACCTGAGCTATGCTGATGCAAGTGGCTCCACCAAATGCTCTGTTCCCCCCTCCCCCTTCCGTTATGAAGCAATGGATAAGCACACTGTAGGACTCAATGATACTAATTATATTTGAGAACTTTGTCCCTCTTTCTTCTCTTTGAGAGGTGCAAATCACATAACTGCTGCCGGCAGGAAGTTTCCTTTACTGACCTAAGTTCTTAACATTTTACAGCTGTTTGATAATGTATAAGAAAGTTGTAATACATACATGTCCAAAAATGATTTGATAGGATCTGAGTATTCTGTCCTCTTTCTCATCCAAATGCACCAAAAATTTACAAGTACATAAAAAGTATCTTCATATTACAAGAAATGATAATACAAAAATAAAGTAACAAAATATTTAAATGGATTATAAATGGATAATTGGTTTTTATTTAATCCATTTAGATCCATCCATTTAAATCCATTTATTAAATGGATTGGATAAATTTCATCCACCATCCATTAAGTCAAAACCAATTATGAACAATTTATTCATATTGTCACCTCCAGTATTAGGGGCATGAGGATGTAACCAAATTTTAGCTTTATCTCTCAATGAAAATGGGAACAACCTTAGTCTTATTGCATCCTCACTAACTCCATTCATTTTAATTGTATCACATATCTCCAAGGATGTGGCTAAGTGTGCATTTGGATCCTCTACGACATTACCTCCAAATTGAGATTGTTGCACCATTTGGATTAATGATGGTTTAATCTCAAAACTATTAATATTTACCGTCAGTCGTGCTATACTTGTTTGGAATTCTTGAGTTCCCGGTAGAACAAAATCCCTAAGAACTCGCCTATTTGCTTTATTTTCCGCCATTTCTTCTTCAAAAGATAGCTCTATTGCGATCCCCTCTATTGGTTGTCGAACCTCTTCTTCTTCTTATTATGGTGTACGCTTTATTTGTATTCATAGCGTCCTTTCAATATCCGAATCAAAAGGTACGACTACCCATAATATCCAGTGCATACACTACAAACAAAAATAAAGAGATTATGCAGTAATTAATTCACTAAAACTACTAGAAATTTCAACTTAACTAGAAACAAAGCTTAACTAACTAATATAGAGAATGTCTAAATTAATAAAGTTTGTTAGGTCCTAATATTTGCCGTTCCTTGGTAACGGCGCCAAAAACTTGACGAGCTTTTAATATAAGTGCAAGTTTAATTTTGAATTACACTAATTTTACTGCAAGCATATAGGTCAAGTTAGTAGTTAGGGTTTATATCAGGTCGATCCCACAAGGAGCAACTTGCAAACACTAGGTCCTTACTTAATCTATTATTTAGACTAATGATAGATTTAAGTAAGATAATATTTAATTACTACTAGCTAACTAACCTTAACTAGATAATTGCAAGATAATAAATGGAGAAAATTCACAAAATACTTGAGTCTAGAGATATAGATTCCACTTTTGGCATGAAAGATACAAGTAAATAGATTTAGCTCTTGTTACGACTCTTGTTTAACTAGGAATTCATTTCTAATATTATTAAATCTCATTCTCATGATAAAATGGTCTAGAATAGTCTAGTTTTTCCCATTCTCTTGGTGAATAACTAGATCTACTCTTGTTTCCTTCATGAAATGCAAGTTTAATTCATTTAAATATATCTCTATTCTCATGAGTCTACTACTCTATCTCTATTCATATTGTTCCATCATTATTATCAACTTTCATTGAATAATAACGATTAAAAGATTGCTCTTGGTGATCAAGCAACAACAAGTGATAAGCATGCATAAATAGACAAGTTAATACAAGATGTAACAAGTGTAAATCATATTCACTTCATATCAAGTAGTCATAAGTTTCATCCACTCCTTAAATCTAAAAATTTAGCTACTCATATAAGTTAGAACAAGAAAGAGTATGGGTTCATTGCAAGAACATATATTGAATTACAAGTAAAAGATAGACAAAGAAAACTTAGCCAAGATTAATGAAGAAACTCCCAATGATCTTCTATTTTTTCAACAAATAAGTTGTACAATGAAGTCTCTAATTGTTCTCACAAAAATTCTAGTTAGAGAGAACAAAACAAGACTAACTCCTAAGTTCTAAATCTAAAATCTCTTGAGAACTATCTCTAGTCTCTCCCTTCTCTCTCTTGAACGATTCTAACAAATCTAATGTTAGGAGAGTCAAAAAGTGGTTTTTGGACAAGACATAAAGTCCCTTTTTTCTTCCAAAAGGTTCCCAGATCATGTGCAGCTGAAATTCTTGTCTGGAGTTGAGCTGAAAAATAGTGTGAAAACAAAACAAGTGGCTGATCACTTTGCAGAAAATCAGGCTACAATACACGACTAGAGAATATGCGACTACAACCCACATATTGCCAAGTTGTGTATTCAATTTTGTGCACTTGATTCCACTTTAACTGCTATTCTCTCAATGATAGAGGCCAAACTAGCTCTTAGGCAAATCATAAAAGTTATAACCCTTTGAGTTAAATTTCCAATGTTTTAAGAATCATCCAATTTAGAGCTCTGTGGACCGAAATATGATCAACATACTATCACCCGGTCAGAGCTCAGTTCCAGCACTCGACCATGCACTTGTGCTTCGGTATTTTGACTTTTTGACAAGGAAGATAACCGAACTGGAATCCAGTGTCTCCATATCAAATGTAGATCTATCTCTTAGTTTCAAAATGAAATAAGAATCACCTTAATATTATATGTGTAGCTCAAGATATAGCCAAAATACAAAGATGTGGCAAAACTGTCTTCACTTGCATTTCTTCATTTGAATGTTTTACACATCATGTCTTCTTTAAACCTCTTCAAATCATCAATAATCATCCAATTTTCTTCTCAATTCGCTCCCTTTGATACTTGATTCATTAAACCTATGAAAATATGAAGTTTGTACCATTAAAATCCATAGAAATACAATTTTTGTCATTTAAACCACAAAAAATAGATTTTTATCAAAATCCTAATTAATTAATTATAAAATTAGATAAAATACACCAAAACTCACTAATAAAATACCTTAAAAATACGTAAAATTTATACTTATCAATAGGCAACTGATGGATAATTCGAAAGTATTTGGTAAGACAACTCTAAAAATTTGAATCCCAACACACACACACACATATGTATATACATATATAGGTATGTGTGAGTGCGCGTGCGTGCATGTGTCTATATATATATGTATGAATATATGTTTGTATCTATTAAGGTGGCGCTATCCCACATCGCCTTTGTATAAGGGAACCTTTCCCTTAGTTGCTTATAAATATAGTGGGCCTGTGATGAGATTAAATGCACTAAATCAAAAGAGCACTAGTGGGTTATTTGGGTTTTTGGGTCATTAAACCTTTTGTTTAGTACTCCCTCCGTCCCACTTTGATAGTCCTGTTTCTTTTTTCACACAGTTTAAGAAAAAATAGTTAATTTTGTTGGAAAAGTAAATTTAGATTGCTATTTTCCTAAAATACCCTCACATTAAATATGGTACAACTTTATGGAAACTTGAATTGATGGTAAAAAAGGAATCAACTCTCATTAAATGGGTAAGTTTATAGTAACAACTACTTACATTGAATAAGGGTATTTTAGGAAAATTAAAATACAACTACATTTTTCAATTGGAAAGTGGACTACAATTTGGGACAGATGAAAAAGGAATACAGGACTATTAAAGTGGGACGGAGGGTGTAAAATATTTTGGGTTCTTTTGTGTTTTAACTATTAGGTATTTTTTGCCTAGGAACATTTTTCTAAGGCAATTTTGTACTCTATTCTTCATAATAAAATATTGCTCATTCTCCACCTGTGGACGTAGGTCAATTTGGTCGAACCACGTAAATTTTCGTGTTCCTATTTTATTTATTTTTCTTTGTTATTTATCTTTTAGGAGTTGTCAAAAATCCTTTCGTTGAGGCAAGATCTAACAAACTGGTATCAGAGTTTCTTCGAAAGTTTTGGATTTTGTGGCAATAATGACAATAACAAAGACTATCGTCGAGAAATTCAACAGGAATGTCAACTTCGGGATGTGGCAGCTCAAGATGGAGGCCATTTTGGTTCAAGACGAAGTTAATCTAGTGATACATAGAATTGATAAAAAGCCAGAGGGTGTGATGGATGCAACATTTGCTGAAATAGATAAGAAGGCAAGATCCAGTATTATTTTAAACCTCTCTAACGAGGTTTTGCAGGAGGTAGTCGCTGAGACTTGGCAAAAACCATGTGGGACAAGTTTAAGGCCTTGTACATGAAGAAAACAGTTGAAAATCGACTTTATTTAAAGTAAAGTTTGTATGTGTTGCGCATGACTGAAGGTATATCTATACTCTCACACCTTGATAAATTTGATTTCATTATTATGGATTTGGAGAATATAGATTCGAAAATTGATGATGAGAATCAGGCCTTATTACTTTTGTGTTCCCTTCCCCAATCTTTTAAATATTTTCGCGATCTATGATTTATGGAAAAGAAACAATTTCGTATTGAAAAATTAAATCTGCATTAAAATCTAAGAAGCAGATAGATAGAGATATTGTAGACACCAAAATTTTGTTAAAATTTTAATGTTTTTCTTGAATACTT